GCCGCCCGCCGGCCCGCGGCAGCAGCGCACGCCGCAGGCAGCCCCTCTTGCGAAGTACGAACGAACGGCTATCTTCCCCCCCCCCCCCCCTTTCTTCTCGCTCGGCTTTAACAGGTGAGGCCCCCGGCGACGGCGAGCGGAGAGGCCGGCGGCCCCGCCGAGGAGCCCGGGGAAGGCGCTGCCCCCGCCCCGGGACGCGCTCGCGGCCGGCTCTCTCGCCCCTGCCATCTGCCGGGAAGGAGCCGGGGGCCGGCAGCGCGGCGAGTCCTCTGCCCCGAGCCAGGAGTTTTCGGGGCGCTTTTGTGCGCGCCGCCAGCGGAGATTACGCCTTTTAGACGAGATCGAGGGCTGCCCCCGGCCCCCCGGCCCTCCCGGCGGGCCCGCAGCCCCCCCCGGTGTCCCTCCGAGGCCCGCCGGGGCTCTCGGAAGCCGTGTTTTCCTCGGGGAAGACTGGCCGGCTTCAGCGCCGGAGGGAGGGGGGGAGGCACGTTTGCGCTGGCAGGATCTGGAGCGCAAACCGATTCCTCCGGTTGCTGCCCCCCTCCAGACCCCCAGCCCTCCCCCCGGACCCCCCTCCCCCCTGCAGAGGGGCAGCAGCGGAGCCAGACCCTGGGATTGACTCACCTCCTGAGTGTCGGCGTAGTAGCTGTTCCAGTCGCTGGTTTCATGCCCTTCCATTTTCACAGTCCCTAACATTATGGAGCCAACCTGCCCGGTGCAACCATCCAGCCCTCTTGCAAGTGAGCGACGGGCAGCAGGAAAAGAGCCCGAAAGCCCGACCTAGCAGGAAGCCAGCTCTCAGGAGGGGCGGGGGGTGCTGAATTCTCCTCTATAACCAGCCAAAAAGGAGGCAGGGAGCGGTGTGGGGCGAGACAGTTGAGAAAGTGAGGAAGTGCCGGCTGGGATGTGAGTGGAGTTGAGCTGATGTGTATCTTACGTCGCAGAAGTACCCACCTCCTCCTCCTCCTCTCCCCATTTGTCCGCCGCACAAAGGCGTTCGCACCTACAAAGCCGGAGATGCACCTGCAAACAAGGCAGTTCCCCTCGCCTGCAACTCCCCCCGGGGCGGCACTTTATTTGCAAAGCGGCGTAATTGGTTTAAGCTTGTGGGGAAAGAAGGAGAGACAGAGGTGGGAGAGGGGGAGAGAGCAGGAAAAGGAGGGGGGGGACGACCCACCCTTTCAGATGGACAGGACGAATGCTAGGAGGGATCGGTGGAAATGAAATGAGGTAGATAAGGGCAGGGCAGGCCCCTCTGTTTGAAGAGAATGCGAAAGGCCATCCAGCCTTAAACCCCTGAGATTAGGGGCAATATTTACTGAAGTCCAGTAGATGCTCTTTTAACTTGGTGGCCCGGACGTGCTCCAAAGTCCCGAGTCCTGCAGTCCACAGGCTCCCCCCCGCTCCCGCCCCTCACTTCAAAGCTGGTT